CCAACTTTTATATTAAGGATCCTAAAAGGAAACCCCAAAAAGGAACTACAATGGAGACTATAGGGAGTTTTATACTGGGTTCACAGGGGGCTCACAGCGTCTTCTAAGGTTTAAATGGGTTTCGTAGGGTTGTAGGGTTTTTTTGGGGGTTGTACAGGTCAGGGGGGCTGCAGCTGTTGTTTTGTCTCAGGGGTTGCCATTTGGCTTTGTGTTTACGATATGGTCGATATTATGGTCGGTATGTGCCCCCTAACCCTCATAGGGCCCTAGTTAGGGGCTCTAGTACCCTATATAGTAGGTACCTGGGGGGTTAGGGTCTTCTTTGCGGTAATTCGACAGTTGCACGGATGTTCGTTTCAGTCTAAGTTCTTCAGGGCTTCAGCCTCTGTCCATGGAGGTGATTCCGGTAAGTTAGTGGAACGGCAAAGCTACGATCACGATTTCTGCGAGTCGTGGCCATCACCATCATCATCATCATCATCACCATCGTCATCCTCATCATCATCCTCATCATCGTCATCATCATCATCATCATCGTTAGCATCATCTTATTCTTCACCGTCACCTGCATCAACGGAGTACTATTGAACTAATGGAGCCGGCAGCGACAGCCACTGGTACATGTACCGGACGGCTACTGTCATTCTGCTAGGGCGAGGACGAAAACCGACGAATACCGGGAAAACGAAGCCGCATACACAAGCAGCACTGCGATCGTCATCAATCACATCACTAGCTGTGTGTCAGGGAGCCAGCTTGAAACGGGCTTCCGGATAATGTATGGGTCTGGGCGGAATCATTGGTAATACTACCCCCTTATCATCCATATCTACTCATGTTTATCATATACCCCACACCCCGCCCTCCCCCCTCTTCTGTTATGAAGGCCCCCTATACTCAACCCTCATCATAGCACCTTCCGTGAAACCCTATGAACTATACAGGGTTTAGGGTTTAGGGCCCTCAACCCTAAACCCTGAGACTATACACCTTTTGCAGCCCAGGAGTCCTCAAGAGGAGCTGCTCAGACAGTTCCGGCGATGCTGGCGAGGATTTGCCAGCTCTTGGAGGAGCCAGAGGCCCAGGCTCAAGTGCTGACAGTGGACGCTGAGGTGTGGATATAAGAAGATTTTGGGGCTTATTTTCTGTGAATTGGAACTATTTGTGATATTGTGTTGGTTATATATATATATTTATTTATTTATTGTTATTTATTTATTTAGAGATATGCATCGTTTCTGCAACATGCTACTAATAATAATGATAATAATGATTGTTTCTCTTTACTTCTTTGACGCTTTACGAATGCTGTGAAGATTTTGGGTTTTGGTTGTGGTTTTCGTTTCTGCAGCTTGATCATAGGAGCAGGTGCGAGGTGCTTAGTTCAGAACCAGCCGAGGAAATTCTCAGTGACTTCGACGCATTGACAGGACGAGCCTTGAGCATACAGCGCCGCAGGCTTCAGCAGAACATGCTCAAGCAATGCAGGATTCTCTGTGGCTACCGGAGTGGATGGTCCGTGCAAGGACTGGCTTGGAGGCTGCATGATCCAGTTTTGGAGAAGGAGTCGTTTCTCGGAGCTTCGCTCACACAAAAGCTACTGCAGCAGCTGCAGTTGCCTGGTTCTGCTTGAAATGAAAGCTTTATAAACCTAGTAAGGAAAGCATGCCTTAAATTTTAAATTAAAGCTTCATGAACCTAGTAAGGAAAGCTTTTCAATGAATTGTAGCAGATGGTAACCCCAAATTGCGGTTCTTAGCAAGAGCCCAGGATAGCATCAGCGGGTGACCCAGCTGCTGAACCATGGCTGCCAACCGCACGCGCAGCTGCCCGAACCGCGCCAGCATTGACCAATTCGGCCGATATCAATGAGGCGGAACAGCGTGCTAAGGCGATCTCTGCATGGACGGGGGCATCATTGGATGCTTGACCCTTATATCAAGTAACGTGATGTACGCGACCATTTTGGTGCCATAATCGGCGTCTGTAGTTTACTATAATATAGACCATACGTTTTCCTCATCCTGGCAACTCAAGGTTTTGCCTAAAGGCTCTAAAGCCCAGCAGCCGAGAAATATTAAACAAAATATGGTACCCCCCAATTTTAACTTACATCTTAGTTAGATATACGGGACCTGTTTTAAAGGGCGCTTAGGGGGGCCTTGGAAGAACTGAGGATGCCATCGTTTCAGAGGCACATGTCTCCATCCAGTACAGGAGCCGGGTGCACGAGTGGAGTGCCTCGCCCATGCATGCATCCATATATGTGCATATTCATGTATGTGTGTACGTTCGTATGCATGCATGTGTGTATGCATGTACGCATGTTGATTTCGTGTCAACCGTGGTAATATACAGCATGTAGGCACAGGCTATCAGTATGGGTATGTCTACAGAACGTGCATGACTGAGCTGTAGAAACAGGTTTGACATCATATGGTGTTCGTGGACACGACAAGTAAGTACTTGGAGGTTCAGAAGCGGTTCTAAGTGATGTTATACGTCCCTTAATGTGGGCTATAACTATCACTATGATAGCTACCTTACTGATAAGCCCACTTAAAACTACCCCTGAGCCTCCAAGTAGTCATAGTTCGATCTAGCGGAGTCGAGTCCTCCCCCCAAAGCCGAACCCAAACCTAAACCCTAAACCCTAACACCCTAAACCCCTAAAACCCTAAACCCCCAACACCCTAAAACCCTAAAACCCTAAAACCCTAACCCAAAGCCGAACCTTTTCGGAAACCCGGATGCTTCGGCTTCTAAAGCCCCCAGGCCGAAAGGCCCCTACACTATCCCCTACCCATAGGCCCCTAAGTAGCTCCTTCTTGTGGTTCATATATAGAATCCTATAAGGTAATCGCAAAAAGGAACTACTTTAGGGGCCTGTGGGTAAACCCTTACTTTCTGCACCCTTGGCCCCCTTAAACCCGAACCCTTCGAAAGCCTAAACCTCGCAAGCGGTTCCCCCCAGGTACCTAATATATAGGCTACTGGAGCCGCTAGGGCCCTGAATAGTAGGTACCTGGAGGGATAGGGAATGCCGAGGCTGGGCACTGGATGGGGAAGGGAGTCTGGTGCCAGTCTTCGTGGACCACGCTCTTTGGCTGCAAGCCGTGTGCCCAAGCTTAGTCCCTGCACCCGAAATAGTAAACCTGGGTTGGTATGAGGTTTTTTTGCAGGATTTCGGGTTCGGTTCCCTACGCCCTAAACCCTAAACCCTTTAAGTTCCCTACGCCATAAACCCTCAACCCTATGCCCTATACCCCAACCCTAAACCCTAAAAGCCTCCTGGCACTAAGGATCGATCTCCCCATGCGGAGCGGCAGGGGCTGCTGCGTCTTCTGCAAGGACTGCGAGCCCTCCGTGACCACGGAGTGCCGTAGGGATATTAAACTAGGTGGCAATTAGGGAAACTTTAAAATTTCCCTTATGGTTTCTAAAGAGGTACCTATTCATAAATACTTTTCAGGGCCCCAAAACTACAACCCAGTAAAGTACACGGCGTCCATGTGGGATTTCGCGGTTGTAGTGAAGTTTTAGAGTTGACAGGGCCTAGGGTTGGTAGATTTCGGGATGTGAAGGGCAAATGACTTGGTGCGTAAGTGTTAACAGGCAGACAGCGGGTTGTTTGAGAAATTGCATCCGAATTGCTCAAGCGAGCGGACTCGCGGACTCTCAGCAGAGTGGAATTCGTCTGCTTGGGGCGCGTACGGCGGCCAGGAAGGCGGAAAATGACAACTCAGTTCAGGGCTTGATTGAGAGGTGTGTCTTTGTGCGTGTGGGGATGTGTTTTCATGTATGTATACACATATCTGTATATATATATATATATATATGTGTGTGTGTGTGTATGTGTGTATATGAAAATAATTCGTGTGCATGTGCATAGGAGCCGGATCAAGAGCCCAGCCTGAAAGTGTAGGTATGACCAAGGCAATGTGCCAGCGTGGATTTCGCCCAGCGACTGGTGTAGGGGCTCTTGATTTGGAATTTCGCGTTGAGGAGTTCGGGATTTTGGGTGGAGGGTCGAGCGTTTAGGCCAAAGTTTAGGCGGCTTGGGGTTGTCTCGAGTGCTGCACAGTGCCGTTGCCAGTAGAACTGATTGCTTCTTGGTAGATTTCCGGCTCCCGTCTGTACAAGATCTAACCATGCCGGTGCCAAAAGAGGGAGCTGGAAGCATGACTGTCGTCATACCGTCAACCGTCATACCAATCACCACCAGCGTTTTGCTCATCATCTTCTTCGTCGCCACCAGTGCCCTCGCTATGTACACCAATACGAACGAAGGCGGATACCAACAGATCTCAGTAGTATGGTAGTTTTCCGAACAAGGGTGTATATATATATACACATACATATGTATGTCTGTATATGTACGTACGTATGTATGTATGTATGTATGTATCTCAGTAGTATGGTAGTTTTCCGAACAGAGTATACATATATACACACACATACATATGTATGTCTGTATATGCACGTATGTATGTGTATGTATGTATGTATGTATGTATGTATGTATATATATATATATATTCGTGAAGGTCCTGGCCATGGCACATAAAGGCAATGACTTATATACCCCCCCTTGCAGTCCCTATTCAGTCGTTGCAGGATAGTAACTGCCAAAAACTCTATGGCAAGTATTGAGGCCCATGTAGTAACAAGCAGCTAAGTTCTGACAAATCTCAAGAGTCAACTTCTCAAGTCAACTCCAAGCTACATTTGTGTTTATATACTGCAAAGCCGAGAAGTCAGAAACCGCCATCTGAATCTTCGGAGCTGGATTTCAAGTCCTACATCCTCAACCCGGAACCCACTGGTTTTGTCCGCTAGGTCCCCGAATCCTCTCCAAGCTCCAGCTGCGACCTGGCGGCAGATGGGACTTCGGTTGAGAGCGGGCTGTCATGGGGCCTGGGTTT